TTTGGAATCATGTATGATTTTCGTTCCACTTCTCACGTGTACACCACTTTGTATTGGTCTTTCACGTGGAATTCCAATAAAATTAATTCATGTTTGTGGCTTTAATGTGACAAAACGTGGAAAAAGTGGTTGCAGAAGGTGAGATCATTAAAACAAATGATGAATGCACAGAGATGTGGTGCAGAATATCCCATGAAAAACAGGTCCTTCTATATTATATAAAAGGCCCTGTTTTTGTCCGCTAGAGTGGAATCTAGCGGCACCACTTTTCCAAGAATACGCGCTTCTTTTGCGGTTCGGACTCCGTCTGATATTTCTTTGGAGGTGGAGGAACACCAAAGTAATTGCTTAGAGGAGCTTGCTTCTTCGACATCTTTAAGAGTTCTAAACAAATGTCTGTCCTCCTCCAGAAAATCTTATGCACGCAAACGTGTGTTGCATCTTCTTATCTGTTGTGCGTCTTTGATATTGACTGCGTATGCGCACCTGCGGACTTATGTGCACCCCTGTATATATCACAAATTAAACTAAAGGAACAAAAAGTCTAATTGAAAAATCAGCATAGTCATTTTTAGAATATTTATGCTAATTGCAGCTAAGTAGGAAATTTTATTTTTAAAAACAACAACAACAACAAAGAGCAGAAAAAAACATACCCATTTAACTGTTTGACAGAAATGTAATAGTCCTCAGAGTCCCTTGGTTTGAAGTCAATGCATGATTTCAATCTGAACTGGTCAAAGGCTCTCAGAATGATTCCTTTAGAATTAATGTCTACCATTGTTGTGTTATACAGATTAAAAGAAAAGAAGAAGATATTTTAGACAACCAATAAAGGTCCTTTGCCTTGCCCATGCATTTTGCTCTAAGGTGCTAAAGCATACAGTTATAAACATTTCTTCCGGTTTTAGCAAAGGCGCGGGTGGTTACTTTGCATAACTGGATGGTACAAAACTATTCCATTAAATTAGCTCTGTGCACTCGCACATGCTGCTGTTTTCTTTTTCATTATGTGGCTTCTATGTGTCAAAAGAGTCCAGCTGACATGGGGAAAAATGCATTTTCCGGTATGACATCACAAAGATGTGTTCCCATAGAAATAAAGAAATAAAGATTTATTTCAGGTGTATTTGTAAGAAAACACATATTTACCAAGGTGATTATTTAAGAGGTAGGGGACTGGGGATGTCCACAGGATGTTTTCATTAATGATGGTACTCCTCTGCTTGCCTATAGGCTAAAGTATAAGAAACATGTATATTGTGACATAATGCAGTAAGTTACTATGCACACAGATGTTTTTAGAATAAATA